TCTATCTATCTATCTATCTATCTATCTATCTATCTATCATCTATCTATCTATCTATCTATCTGTACATCTGTCTGTCTGTACATCTATCTATCTGTAAATCTATATATATATATATATATGAGAATATGAGACAGACATACCCATAGAGAGAGCGATAGTATAGTACAATAGGTTGCCTTCAGGCCCAGGCCTCCCTTGAAAAAGAGATCTGTGATCTCAATGGGATTTCCCTGGATAAATAACAGTAGACAAATAAATATATATCTAAACTAGGGGTGACCCAATACAGTTTTTTCACTTTTGATACAATACTGATTATGCAGCCTTGAATATCGGCCGATAYTGATATCAACTCKATACGATATTAGAACCAATCAAACATGCTTTTATTACTTTTTTTGTAGTGTGGAATCTTAAATTCTTGATCAAGTCAAACAGAAAACGATAGTCAGCARCAGTAGGTATGAGAGAGACTGATTACATTTATTATTAACCAGTGGGTTACATAATTGTTTAACTTAAACATAAGAATATTGTACAATTAAAAGCAATAAATAAATAATAAAATAGAAGACCTTAAAATTATCTCAACAAATCCAATAAAAACAAAATGTACTTTTAAAGTAAAACTWTTCAAGGTCACTTAGACTATTTATGCTGGATCTAGAAGGGGCTGGATAGGAATCCTAAGCGGACTGCTAGAATGGAATTCTAGTATCTGAGATTTTAAATGCAGGCCGATAGAATCCAATATAAATTTTTTGGCCAATATCTGATCGATATTGCTGTTTGATTGGGACACTCCTAATATAAACAAGTAATAATTGTTTTAAACTTTCTGTGATTATAAATGTGGTGTTTTAGTGATAGTTTATTATGTAAATAATCTATATGAGTAGGTAAAAAATCTACTTTAGCTTGTTTTATAAAGCTTTTTCTTGTTATAGCTGTTTTAATTTGAATGCAACTCCTTGATTAATTATCTGTACTTTCTGCTTTGTTGAGCAGGARGAGCACCTCGGCCGAGGCACAAAAACCAACATCTACTCGGGCACGCTGAGGGTGAAGAGCGAAGAGGATGAAGATGCGGGTTACACATCTTTCCAGGAGGTTAAGGTGGTCCTGAAGGTGCTTGGTTCTGAACACAAGGACATTTCTCTGGTGAGACACGACTACAGCCAGAAACAGCTCAAAGGCTGAATCTGAATGAGGATAAAACTTTGCATTTTCCTGTTGATGCCCTGACTCATGTTTGTTTGTCTCCTTTGTGACAGGCTTTCTATGAAACAGCCAGCAACATGCACAAAATCTCTCACAAACACATCGTGTTGTTCTACGGGCTGTGTGTCCGTCAGGAGGAGAGTAAGTGCTTATTAACAGCCAYTCCATGAAGCCTGTGGTGACTGTCTCCATCTAAACATGTTTGTTTTTCTATCACAAGATATTATGGTGGAAGAGTTTGTCCAACTGGGACCACTGGACGTGTTTATGAAGAGACAACCAAGTCCGCTCAGCACAACTTGGAAGTTTCACGTGGCTGAGCAACTCGCCTCAGCTCTTTCTTACCTGGTAAGAAGAAAACACAAATGTGCATCTTTGCACATAGTTTTAGGTCAGATCATTATTTTCTTCCTTACAKTTTTCAGCACTTAACCTCGTTCAACAATTAGAACCATTCATATATTAAAACCTTCAGCTCCTTCTGGACATTCCAGCTGTGGCTTTTAGTATTTCAGCAATTCATACTTTTTAGAGATATTTAGCTCTTTGGTCCATTTTTATTATTGATAACTATCGGAGCCAGCTTCAGTATCCTTAAAATCTTTCAGAATAGAAAATCTTCCCTGCAGTTTTAGGTCGTATTCAGACCTGACAGTTTGCTCCGCTTTAAACGGACCAGAGTTCGTTTCCAGC